CAGCACTGCCAGCACCACGGTGCCCCCCATCAGCACCACCAGCAGCAGCACCCCATGGACAACAACTGTTCCTGGCTCATCAACAACCACCTCTCCTCCTCTAAGTATTGTCACCAGGACCCCTCAGCCTCCAACTACATTACCATTAGGTAATTCTGTGGCTTTCTTTTCCTTTGTGGGTTTGAGAAATTTGGATTTATTGGCAGCTTACCATGTTTCTTAGTTTTTATACTCTGCAGGAGTGTGGTTGATGTGTATTTCCAAAAAATCATACAAAGCTGACATTTTGGCAGCAATGTCAATATCCTCTGCCATCCCAGAGAATCTTCCTCTGTAAGAATACAATGAAGTACATGAAGGGGTTTGCCTGTTCTCACCCAGATGCAAATTAATATTTTGTTGAAGGACTCTGTCTGTGGACTGTGTGGGCAGAAACAGTGTATCTTACTTCCTCCAGCATCATTACTGCACTCTTATTATGTACACAGTACTACTCTATCTACTGTGTGTCACATTATGCTATAAAAGCACAAACAGATGGCTCTGAGGCTGGACACTTTCTAAAATGCTGATTAAATACTATTTTAAAGGAGTCTGCATTGCCCATAATGAAAACTGGCCATGTGAAAAAGAAAAACCAGAAAAGTGAATTGGGGTTCCTAACATCCCAAAATATCTTATGAGTGAGTCATCTTAAGGATCTGGGAGTCAGATATAGAACGTGTACTGTCTCCAGCAACTGCTGGAGTTAGTTTCGTTAGAATCAGATGACTGAGCATAATCAATGGTGGTATGAATGTGCCACATGAAGTAGCACAGGGAATAATGGTCTGTCCATAGAATATAGTAAGATGGCAATACAGAATTAATCAAAGAGTTCACTGAGCATTGATCACTCAATGGATTCCCCTGGATTTAGGACAGCTGAACTCTTCTCTGCAGTATCAAGTTTTAACATTACAGAAGCTCTTCCACCTGAGATTGATTGTTGATCAAGCTTTTATATCAGTCTCCTATAGAAGATGAAGGAGATTTTATTAATAATCCCTCCGTGATGCAAAACCCATTAATAAAACAGTTTCTGTTTTATTTTTATCTAAAGACCCTGTGCTTATATTTGTTGAATTACATTTGCTTATTAGAAAATGAGATGAAATTATGAAGAAAATGCAATTTCCCTACCTAAAATACTGTGTTTTCTCCCTGTCATAAAGAGGGTACAACACCTGGACCAGAGACACCGACAAAGACAAGTACTCCAGTTACTCCTTCAGCTACTCCACTGCCAACAACTAGAACAACAGAAAGAGGAAGTACAGTGTTTACCAGAAGCACCACTATTCAGCAGTCAACATCCTCGGTGTCAACAAGCCCAGTGACTGTCACCACCTCTGAAGTCACTGAAACAGGATCAACCCCCAAAACTACCCCTTCAGGCCCCACACCCTCAAGATCCACCAGCACCACACCAGTAACAGAAACACCTAGCCATGAGACCACTACCACCAGGACCGTGAGCCCCCCAACAGGATCACATACCGCCCCTGTCAGCACCACAACTTCAGGACCATCCTCTCTGGGGTCTACTCCTAGGAGTACTGTATCTCTGTCTTCAGCATCAACCAGCTCTGTGCCAGTCACCACCTCTGGTACTACTCCAACCAAAACCTTTACCACCACTTCAGGAACCACCTCTAGCAGTTTTACCATAAGTACTGCAACCACCACCTCCACCACCTTAGAAACTCTTTCACCTGGCTCAACTAGTACATCTGGGCCAACTGCAACATCAACTGCAGTCACCACTACAGGAAGTTCTACATACAGTACCGTTACTCCAGTTAGTGGCTCAAGTTCAACTACAGGTCTAACACCAACTACGCCTAAAAAAATATGTTCTATTTTACCTGATGAATCTTATGAGGTGAGTAGATCTCATGGTTTTTTTAGCATTCTGATTTGGATGGAGACTAGACACATAACTTCGATGTTAGTAACATACAGAGTAGGCACTGAACTGGATAGAAAAGGAAGATTCAGCCTGTTCTATTTTTTTCTGTTTTCTTGGGTATCAGCGAGACTTCTAATGATATTCAGATTGATATATACTGCTATTAATTCTTCAAGGATAGTTTTTAAAAAGCTTTCTTCAAGGAGCTAGATCCCCGTTCAGTGTTTCTCTTTATTGCAGGATAACTTTGATGAAGAGGTAACCAAGAGCTAAGTGGTGCTAAACTATCTTTTCTGTTTCTGCTTTTGACTAGGTCCAAAGTAGGAAAATATTGTGTGTTTGCAGTGCAGCCCAATAAGAAACCAGAGCATTGAATTTGTCTGAGTTTTGAAAGAGTCATACTTGTTCATATTCTGGTTTCAGGAGAGGACTATGAAACAGATCACCAGATTCAAATGCTCGTCAAATTTGACTGAGAGTTCTGATTTTTTTTGAACCCTCCACCTCTGACAGACAAATTAATGTCTTGTACAATTCTAAAGCCTCCTCACAGCTTAGATGCCTCTCAACTTGCTCAGTAGATATGCAGGAATGAAAGTTATACATGGTTGAAAAAACAGTGGAAGATAGAAAAAGTGCATACAGTCACAATGCATGCACATAATCACCTTGGACATTTCTTCCCAAACAACTGGCATTCACTGTAGCTTTAACTGTTAATCTGTTCTAAACATTCATGGAAGGGAATTGATCATATATTGAACATTGATATTGGTCAGTGTCTTTCACTGTTGCTTAGAGAAGCTGTCTAGGTGATGAGGTTAGATCAAACATGTAACTTAGATAGCTGAGACTAGAAAAGGTGATTCCCATTTCTGTTTAGTGCCTTGACTTTTGTAAGTAACGCTTTTAACTTTGCAGCTTTTCAGATTTCTGCTGGGGAAAAATTGCCATTAAACATATGGTGTTTTAAAAATCTGCAGAAGATAATCAGACTCACTGCTTCATAAGGTTTTTCTCTGTCTTCCCCCTTCCCCTCTTTTCAAACACAGCAAGGTGAGTCATGGTGGCTCTGTAACTGCACTAAGGCAATATGTATAGAAGACAATATCGTCCAGGTGATTCCCATAATCTGTAATCCACCTCCTAAACCTACCTGTGCCAATGGGCTTTCTCCTGTGCCAGTCATTGATGAGGATGGATGCTGTTGGCATTGGGAGTGTGATTGTAAGTATATATTTTGTTGAGTATTTAATCTCCTGTGGGAACAATACTACTGTCATGACTAACAATATTTATTAGGGGACAAGATTGCATAAGACTGTGACCCTCAGTCTTCTAATATGGGTCTGTTTGGAGTGCTTCATTGATTCTTTTTTGCTAACTGAAGTGTTTGCTTAAGTTGCCATCATTTCTACATAACTGTTGGGTTAGTAGAATAAAATGGTCTCCCAAAGCAGGATTTAAATTTTCAGATGCAGACCATAGGGTAGAAGCCTATATATTGCTCGTTCAGACTATTGGTAAAGATATATCTGTGGTACAGTTAATCCTATTCTCAGTTGTCTGTCAGTAATGTCAGATGAACTGTGCCTTGAAAGAGCCTGGTTTTTTATTGATGACTCCTACATAACAAACTCCTGCATTGACAAACACACTTAAAAAACTTAAATGCTTAAAGTTCAATGAGATGATTCCCACATCTATAGATTTTGTTTGTAGTCTGATCTGATTCTGTATGTTGCCATAAGAGTCTGACTTAGCTGTATGCTTTTTTAGGCTACTGCACTGGCTGGGGAGACCCACATTACATGACTTTTGATGGACTGTACTACAGCTACCAAGGGAATTGTACATATGTCCTTGTGGAAGAGATTAATAAGAAAGTTGACAACTTTGGTGTCTACATTGATAACTACCATTGTGATTCACGGGATGTGGTCTCCTGTCCTCGAACGCTCATTGTGAGACATGAAACTCAGGAAGTGAGGATAGCAACGGTGAAACCAAATACTGTAGAAGTAGAGGTATGAGAGAATGTTACCATTGATTTTGATATCACATCAAAATGATAAGTATATTCACAATGTTTGGAAAAAAATCAAAAGTAATCTGTGTTTTAGATTCCGTAACAGTTTAGATTATAAAATGGGACTGATTTGAAGGACTGCTTTTTTGACTCTAAACATGAGAGAAAAAATTCTTCTTCTCTTTTTAATCTCAAATATTTTCAGTGCCCTATCTCTCCTAAATGCGCAAGTGTGGACAAATTACTAAGAGTTAAGGATATAAAATAAGTTGATTTATAATTAATGTTAATGTAACAAAGGAAACAATAAATGTTGAATGGGAGGAGGTAATGTAAAGTAGACATAACAATAAAGTACCAGCCTTAAGCCTTTTAAAAAAGTTACATTACTAGCTCTGATTTGTTTCACCTTTTTAACTTTTGGAATAAGAGCACTTACATGTTTATTTCATTGATAAATATGATGTCCTGGCTTTGGGCCTTCAAAATTGGATGAGAAGTGTTTGTAGCTTTATGCTCTTTGTTCGGTTTATTTTTGTACCTTTATTTTTGTACATTACTGTGTGAGAATATTATGTCAGATTGCAACATATTGTTGAAAATTTGCAACATTTAGACCTTCTTTTTTTCTCTGAAGCAAAGAAATCTGCCATTGCTGAGTAAAAGTAGTAGTGTTAGTTCATAGAATCACAGAATCATATCCTGGCTACAGTATTTAAATAAATAATACAGATTTAGTCTTATTTCTTTCATTCAGTTTTCCAACAAGCATATTCCCTTTATTCCAAGAAAGTTAAAACTTTATACAGTATAAATTTAAGAGAATTTTATGTTCCACATTCACGAGGTGACCTCAATGCCATAGTCTCTCTAATGATTCAGTTAAGTGTTAGGATTTAGCTAGTTTAAACCCTGAATTTTATCTTAATTTAACAGAGGTTGATAGGCTTTTTTGGCTCAGAGAAGAAAAGTTTGGCTTTCCAGTAACATAAAAGGAAACACAGGGACACTTGATACAAATGAAAAGGATATTATTTACCTTTACATTCTCTCTGCAATGCAAATGAACAGTCAATTGTTTTCTGAAGTCAAACTAAATATATGCCTCTTTTCTGTTTTCCTTTGTTTATTAGGTGACAGTAAACAATCAGTTAGTGGCTTTGCCTTATAAAAAGTTTGGCGTGAGCATCTATGAGTCAGGAATAAATCGTGTTGTGGAAATTCCTGAGCTAAAAATGAATGTGACCTACAATGGCTTGTCCTTTTCTATCAGAATGCCCTACAGCCTGTTTGGCAACAACACTCAGGGACAGTGCGGTAAGGCTTGCTCTTGCAATATTTGTACTCTCAGAAAACCACAATAACAGCCCTGCTTACAAAGATGAATAGAATTTGATAACAAATGAGTTATCAAGTGAGTGAATTCTTTCTCCCTTTACCAATCTTAGGTACTTGCAATAACAACACCGCAGATGACTGCATGTTGCCGAATGGAAACATTGCAGAAAACTGTGAAACCATGGCAGATCACTGGCAGGTTGTTGATCCCTCCAAACCACAGTGCTCTCCAGGCCTAAATCCTACAAGTTCACCTAGCACAACCCCAGCAGAGCCTTGCAAAGAATCTTCCATCTGCGAGCTTCTTTTGGGAAGGTAGACATTCCTCTTGGGTTTACAAGCCTGGTATCTTAAATTGAATTGACAATTTTAGGATTAATTTTTCAATGAAAAGTGTTTCTACCTTTTATTTCTTGTAGCTTTGTGGGTTGCTTCCACTCCTTTTACTTTTTCTGGTTGTTATTCTTTGCTGACAGTTTCTTTCAACCCGCTGACTGCTATGTTAACCTTCATTGATGTTCTCATGTGCTTCTACAGTCTTTGCCCTCCTCTGTCCTACACCTTTTCCCACATTCACTTAGCAGAAAACAAAGTCCAGCTGAAAACAAAGATCTTAATTTTTAAAACACCGTGTCAGAATTAAAAAAAACCCCAAACCCAAACAAAATGTCTTTAAAGAGGGAGCACATGGTTGCACTCAGTAATATTCATGTAGCTCCTGGCCTGAAAATACTTGTGTCTGAGTGCTTTGTAGGTGAGTGGAGAATACTTTAAGTTATGTTGAAAGGTTACAGTCTGGATAAGTGCTCTCAGTAAAAATCTCTCATCCACAGTCCATGCCCACATCTTCTGTTGCCACATCATACCAGGTTAAGCACATTGAAAAATTTATGGATCATTCAATAACTAATAATGATAAATATTTCTGTTTCTAGTGTGTTCAAGCCATGCCATGAGTTTGTGCGGCCTGAAAAGTACTATGCAGCCTGCGTTTTTGATAGTTGTGTACTTCCCAACCTAGACCTGGAATGCTCAAGTCTGCAGATCTATGCTGCCACCTGTGCTGATCAAGGTGCATGCATTGACTGGAGAAGTCACACCAATGGTGTATGCTGTAAGTATTTGGCCATTTATCTTGAATTATTAAGGAAGCTTGTATGGAAACATTTCAATAGTAATGTCGTACTGCTTTCCGAGCAATGAAGACAACAATAAATCACACCAGCTGCTTTCCTTAAGTAATTTTGCAGTTAACATTTTTAACAATGGAAATATGAATGAGCCTGCAAAAATAAACATCTGTTGACTGTGCCAGAAACATCTGTATCAGTACACACCTTTTATGTACACAGACAGTTTTGTGTTTTGCAGGCATCAGCAGATCACTCTATTTAGTGATATATGCATTACTTTTCAGCTGTAGTAAGAGGACGACAAAGAGTAGGAATACACTCCCTCCTGAGAATTTGTGCAAAAGAGACTGAAATGATGAAAAAGAATTGTAATCGAGATGTAGACTCTTGGCTTTATCACATTAATGTAAAGATGGTTCCCTGTCTCTGGCTAAATTGCATAAAATAATTTAATTCAGAGACATGAGTCTGATATCTGAGATTTTTTCTCCTTGCTTCTCAGGGTTGTCACAGATACATAGGAGAATGAGTAAACACTGTTTAAGTTCTTGGCATAAGGTCATGAGGCTTTTATATGACAGTTACTGAGCTCTTCCTCCTTTTTATTCTTCCATTCCAGCTCATGAATGCCCCTCAGGAAAAGAGTTCAGAGCATGTGGTCCTATTAAAGAGCCAACCTGCAAATCAAGGTAAATAATTAGTTAGTTATACCTTCTACAACTGTTCACTCATATCTAATGCACAGGTGAATGAGGAAAATCAACCTCCTTTCATATCTTAAACTGACAAATTTGTTACCACTGTTCTGTTGATCCTGTGTATGGGTGCCTCTACTGTTTATGTTGTTCAGCTAGACCAAACACAAACACTGACAATCTCTAATCACAAATCTGCAGATCATTTGCCACTGTATCTTCAGTGAAAGGTTATTTGGCATAATCCTCCTCTATGTGCCTATGACAGTAATGGTGTTCCTCTGAACATTTTGTTTCATAGTCACCAAAATGAAACTTCAACTAAACAAGTGGAAGGCTGTTTCTGTCCCAATGGAACAATGCTGTATGACTCTGGCGTGGATGTCTGCGTGAAAACCTGTGGTGAGTTTTATCACTTCACTTGGATGCATATTCGCTTCCCCTCTGTTGTTTCCTTCTTATGTATGCAACACAGGTCTGACTGTATGCAGTCAACATATAGTAGAGATGCCTACTGGTATGTAACTGGTAATGGAGATTTATTTTGATATTTTCACAGGCTGTGTTGGAGTGGATATGATCCCAAGAGAGGTACGATGCCATATGCTTTTGGATTAAAAGTAGAAGTTGGGGGTTGGGAGAAGAGAGCGGTCTCCACTGGTGCAGGCTTGTTTTGTGGTTTCCCAACTTTTTATTCCTGATTTTACTTCTGTTCTTTTTAATTGGTAACTGTGCAATCACTAATTTTATTTTCTTTAATGACAGTTTGGGGAAAAGTTTATAGTAGACTGTCAGGACTGTACTTGCCTGGAAGGGGAATATGGCATTGTATGCCAGCCTCATGAATGTCCTGAACAACATGTCACTTGTAATGGAGAAGGCTTCTATCAGGTCACTGAAGTCAATCCTGAAGACTCTTGCTGCCCTCTTGTCACCTGCAGTAAGCTTATACTATGTTTCTAGTTTTTCTATACTGCTTAGAAACAGAAAGAGACTGAACTACTTTAGCACCAGAGACCTGCAGCAGTTAGTCCCAAAACAGTATTTTTCCTCATGCCTTTTAAAATCAGCAATTAAAGTGCATTTTAATATTGAAATGATTCAGGATAACTGAATCTACAGCTATGGGACTCAACACAACTCAATTTCTAGTTCTTGAGTTTTATTCAAGCAAGAATTCTCTGTGGATTTTCATTTTGCAGCAGTTGCCTATGATACTGGAGAGAGTAACAGCTGTTCATTACTTCTCTGCATAGAATTGGGTTACTTTATTAATACAGGATAATTACCTAGTAGAAAAAGTTTCATAAACTAATGCAGTACCCCCAAACCAGTGCCTAGATTTACTAGGAAAAATATGTTCCCTTTCTGCAGTTTGTTTATCTGAAGAGAATCTGGTCTGTTTCCTATGGAAAGTTCATCCTAAATGCTTTGATAGATGCTTATTTCTAGTAGCTGTGATTTAGTGTACTTTTTGGCTTATTCTTTTTTTTTTTTCCCTCAGAATGCAACACAAGCCTCTGCACAGCTAAAGCTCCCAAGTGCACACTGGGATTTGAACTTCATTCTTATATTCCCAGTGGTCAGTGCTGTCCTGTGTACCAATGTGGTAAGTTCCTTGGAAATATATTACAATGATTAGCATTATATATTACAGAATTGATAATTACATTTAGTAAGACTGTATGCAATAGCCTATTGAAGGAGATATTCAACACAGTCAGATTCTAGAAATTAGTTACTATTAACATTGGTTACTACTGCTATAGTTATGACAACTAGGAAATCAGAAACACCTCAGGTGACTCAAGTTCAATTCTCCTGATTGCAAATACATGTAAGGTCAGCTACAGAATTAACTGTGACTGTGGTCTCAGCTTAATCTAGCAAAAAGTCCCTATAAGCATCCCCAGTAGAAGACAGCTTTACAAAGACTACTTTGTTCTTGGTAATTGAAAGAAGGAAGTACTTGGTACCTATTAACTGGACATTCTTGGCTATGAGCTGGACTGCATATATTAGGACAAATCTTCCCTTTTTGCACATGCAGTATTAGTTCTTATACTTTATACATGTCATGTCTGCTACCAGAATGGAGGAATAACCAATGAATTTGAATTCATTGTGGAAGAAATGAGTTTGACTAGAGTGGCGCAAAGGCATTTTTTATTCTTTTTTCCTACGTTAACATCTGACTTCTTGCTTATTAACAGTTCCCAAGGGGGTCTGTGTTCACGAGAGTGCTGAGTTCTTGGTAAGTTCTAAAAATGCCTAAAAGACCAGTTAGTAAACTTGATCACAAATACTGTGAAGAGGTTTATCCAGTACAATCAATATTTTAGAAATTTTCCAATTTCTGTCAGGAGGTCATCAATTTCACAAAGCCTAAATCTCTCCTGAAAAGGTTGTTGTGTATGAAAGAAATGGAAGAGTTGCTTGTATGTCAGTATCAGGAGAGAGATTTGGGTTAAATGTGCTTGCATTTTGAAAAGTCAGTCCCCATTTATTGTCAGTACATTGTTGCAGTTTTAAGACTCTGCTTTCAAAAATTAAAAGATACGTGAATAAGTGCTATTCTAAACAAACCTAGATTTCTAATAAATTCTCTTGGGCCTAGTAATTGTGCCTGTCCTTTTAATATCAGAGTTTATCATTGCTATGTAGGACGTCAATAAAGACACACATTAAATTATATTCAGTGTTTAAAATGTTGTCTTTATAACTGGCTAGCCAGATAGCTATCCAATTGTCTTTAAGATTTTTTCCTTTTCCATTGCTTGATTTACAGATTTTTTGAAATCAATAAATGTCTGTCAAACATGTCATATGCCATTAACATATGCTTTTTTTTCTTAAAATTTTTAGCCTAACTCCTCAGTCTTTGTTGATAAGTGTCAGAATTGTTTCTGCACAAATGAAGTTAACGTCAGCACTCAACTGAATATCATCTCATGTGAACCTCTTCCATGCAATACGTACTGTGCACCGGTAAGTGACAAACTTAAACAAAAAAACCCAAAATACCCATTTATGTGAAAATCACTTTGATCAATGAGTGGTATTAAGCAAAGAACAGGGAGTTGAAATTCAGAGACCAACTCCAGTGTGGATGCCAACTGTCCTTCGAGCAATCTGCTGCATGCAGCTTGACTCCATAACTGACAGTATTCAGTTCATATTGGCCAGATTAGCTGGGAAATTTCTGTAGAGCACTTAATGGAGGGATATTCAATTAGTAGGCATATTTATTGCATTGCAGTGCTTTAATTTATTCCATCTATAATCTGCTTTTATTATTTGTCTTCTACTGGGTTGGAACACAGAAAGTCACAAATCTAGAGTGCACTTCAAAGTATAATCAATCAATGGATTGGTATGTTTTCATTTATTTCTCAAAAATTCATCTATTATAGTGCTATTGTTTTTAATTAATTTTAATATCTAGGGATATGAACTTCAACCAGTGAAAGGTGAATGTTGTGGAAAATGTGTGCAGACCAAGTGTATTATACATGCAAACAATGAGGAACTCATCTTGAGTGTAAGTATGCTCTACATTCTGTGTCTCTACCAAATATGTAAAGTTCCCTGTTTCAGAAGGGGAACATCTCCTTGCCAGAGACAAGGCTTAGTGTAAGTTTGCACCTGAAAGATCAAAGACTCATCTAAAGCAAAACCTATCTACAATATTTTGACCTGAAGGTAGGTCTCATGAAATCAAATTTTCTGGAAGGCTCTTCTTGGAATGACAAATCCAATACCATTGGAAGGGATTTTCTTTCAATTGTCTGGAAGCTTGGGCTTATCTATGTTGTTTGATTTCTGTATGAACACTAGTAAAGCCTGCATATGGAACAATTGTATTGCCCCTGTAGGGTGGAAGTTTAGGATTGTTCTTAATTAGCATATAACGGTCTAGCTGTGTGTGGGTGATTTTGTTAAAGTACTCTACATAGTTTAGAGGCATTTTTCTTTCTCAAGGAAAATCCCATGTAAAACTGAAGATTCTTTCCATATATGGTACATTGCAGTACATGTAACAATCTGTATCTGAAATGGCTGTTAAAATGATTTACTGGGAAACAAGAGGAAAGTCATTGTCAGAGGACAAGAAAATTTCTGTCTGAGCTCCCTTCAGCTTTTCTTATTACATTTTGCATTTTACTTGCAGCCTGGAGATTTTAAAAATGATCCTAACAACAACTGCACCATTTATAGCTGTGTAGAAATCCACAACCAGCTTATCTCTTCCACATCTGAGATTACCTGTCCAGCATTTAATGAGGACAGCTGCAAACCTGTAAGTAAAAATGGAAAATTTACCCTCTACTCCATATATAGATTACTTCAGTTTAGTTCAGCCATCTAAGAACAAAAGTAAAATTAAGCTCTGATGACCCTTCACCATAGCTTCTCAGTCACAAGGGCAAAAGTTTCTAATGCATCCATGCACAACCCTATACAGTGTATAAAATATCTGGGTGAGAATTTGAGGCTTATAACTGGTAACTGTCTCTCAGTAGGCAAAATATTGGTCAGCACTGAGATACTAAGTCTTTGCTGATTGCTTTGTTTGGGGTCCTGTCTCAACAGGAACCATGTTTTCTTGAATGTTACAGAAACAGAAGTTGTTCAGTCAATAGGCTGCCAGTAACACTGTGCATACTCCTCATTCAAATACAGAAAACTTAAAGAAAGCATTTATTGGAATAGTTTCTGAGGAAAAATGACATTATGTTAACTGTAGACTTCCTTCAAAGAGTTATTTTTATTTTCACAATCCTTTTTAAATGGATAGATTTCAAGTCTGGAAGAGACCATTATCTTTACTTATTCAGATCGATGCTGCAGTGTTCACTGGTTGTTTCCAGCCATTGACTGACAAATTGCTCTCTTTAGTTATTGGCCTAAAAGCCTCTTTCAATAGTGAGAAATAAAACAATATAATTTTTTTCTGTTTCTTTGTTCTTTTAGGGAACTATTTCATTCTTACCTAATGGTTGTTGCAAAACCTGTAAGTATCCCAGTGTATCTGAATCAACGATACAGAGAATGAATTGTCTTCTTTAATCAAACCATTTTCCAGCAATAGAGGCTGATATATTTCTATTTAAATAGATATTTTTATATTTATGTTTGTTATTCCAAGCATTCACTGTCCAATCTCTCTGGAAAAGTTTAAGCTGAAGCAGAAAAACCACTTAAGACAGTTCTTTGAGTGCACTAGTGAAGCTGAGGGAATGCTGAACTGCAAGGAATTTCTGGAGGTATTTCACTGTGTGTATTTTCCGATCTTTCCCTATAGGTGCACCTCTGGATAGCAGCACACCGTGCTCTGTCCGTGAAAGAGAAGACTTTATTGTCTATAATGGCTGCCGTTCCGTGGACAGAGTTGTCATGACTGAGTGTGAAGGAACATGTGGAACCGTCTCGCTGTAAGTAAACTTATCAGACAATGAGATTGAAATTCTGCTGGCACTGAGCTTGTTTATATAAAAGGAACAATAAATAGGCAGACTACAGAATGGTAGAAGACTTGGGACTATCTGCTCCCCAAATCATAGACACAAAATCATGAAATCTGTGACTGAACAGTTGATTTATCTTAATGCAAAGCAGAAGAATGTATTACATTTCCTTGGGATTCAGACAGATATGATAAGGTCTCTTCACCCAGTAACAGCTGTCTTGTCTGTCATTTGTGTCAGACCACCTTTGCTAGAAATCATCACTAAAGATAATTTCCTGTGGATAATTTCCTGTAATAGGAATGAGCCCAGGGAGCAGCCAGACTTGATACTCTTAAGCTCAAAAGCTGCTTCTCAATAGTTAACATCTAAAATGAAACACATACATCTTTTAAAGGAAGATTCAAACCTACAATTTTTATACAGTATATAAATTAGAAAACTAATGCTTTAGGGATGGTATTAGTAGAGTATTTTGACTGTACATTTTTCTCTGAAATGAGAGAATATACAAAAAAGTGGCTATAAGGGAGTGGCTAGTAGGACACCTGGTAGTGAGCACTGCAAAAACACAATTCTAACTCCCCAAAGAAACTGTCACTTGCTGCCTATCACTGAGTATGCCACAGGGTACCTTACATGGGAGAAAACTGCTTTTTAGTATCACATGAAACTATGATTGACTGGGGAGTTTATTAGTATTTTGAAATACCTTATCATCCTAGGGTCTTTCTGTGGTTGCTTCTGCACACAAATACAAAAAAAAAAGGTGGATCTTGATGCAGTTCATAGCCTGATATAGACATATTCTGCAGGTTAGGAATGGTGCTTGGGAAGCTGATGAACACAAGACTGCAAAAAATACTTTGAGATAGAAACAGAAAGAGCTGCTGCTTCCCTTTCCTGTTAACACCGCCCTGACTGGGATATGCATTTTATTCCCATGATGCAATTGTAGCTTTTGTAGACAATTGATTGACGTGATGCCATTCTATATGGCCTTGTAGCCCTTTGTCTATGCAGTTTTCATATTCAGGTCAAGGCTTTGTCTCCCCCTAAACTGTTGATCTGGTGTATTTAACATCCATCAGTGCTAGGATTATGAGAGGGATCTAAGGAAGCTGATGATCTTGTACTCACTGAGGGTTTTTTATAGGACTTTGATATGAATGGTTTTACCAAAAAAAAGAAATCTCAGCAAGTGCAATGAACTTTAAAAGCATATTATTTTAATCACTGTTCTGTTAGATGAACTTAGCGCTTCCATTAGCCACAACTGCAGCTTCTCACAGGAGTTCTGTATGTGATTTCACCCTTTCCTTCTGTATGTTGGCTTCTGGCACTGAGTAACGTTGCCATTTTCTATTTTACTAGATACTCTGCTGAGGCCAATTCTATGGATCACAGCTGTTCCTGCTGCAGAGAATCACAGACTACTGAGAAGTACGTGGTACTGAAGTGTCCTGGTGGGCAGTCACTGTCACATAAGTACATCTATGTGGAAAGCTGCAGCTGTCAAGACACTGAATGCCAGATCCCACAATCCAGTGAGTTGCAGAGAAGAAAATAACAAGGCAAGATCTCTGAACCATACCAAGACGACCATCAGCTTAACATCAAAATGAAGACAGAAAAAAACTAGCAGCATTTGACTGAAAGGCCTGTGCACCATTCTTAGCTTTCTTGACTACTTTTGAACATTGCTTTTCCCAGTAAATGCATCCTATTTGTTCTCTGATTACTTTGAACAGTGCTCTATTTATTTGTGACAAAATAAGAACACAAATTTGTATTCTTCCAAGTGCACAGCCTTTTGGATCCTTTTATAATCTGCTTATTTTCTCTGAATGATTAAAAGCACATTTCAAAAACACATGGCTTCTGTAGTTATTTACGTACTGTTTTCATTAGTCTGAGTTTTAAAAGAGAAGAAAAGTTCTTTTTCAAGTTAATGGAGATTGAGCGATATATATCCTAAATTTTTGGGGGGTCTATTTCTGGCTCCCTAAAAATTGAAATTTCAATGTTTAAGGTGGGAGAGAAGTTGATTCTGTCTACCAGAACAAAGCCAAAGATGAATAATTGTCATGAAGTGATTCAGATTACTTGGAGAAACTTCTAGTTTAGCACCAGATCTTATTTTAGGAGGGCTGTGTATGTTGGAACTGTCTCAGGTCATCACAGTTATATATTTTCACTAAAAAGATAGTCCCTCAGCTATGTTCACATATGTTCATTCACAGTGCTTTCAAGATGTACAGTTACTACTATAGTAAGAGCTCTCCAAATTCCAACCTTTGCAAAACAGATGCCCATCTCTAAGCTTGTAAACTTAGCCTTCCTCTACAGCAAATGGAGAGCAATAGCCATTTTTGACATTCATTTGTTTCACAACAAGGAACACATCCAAACCAGGTTAGCTGAATTGCATTCAAAAGTGCCTGTTTATCTGATCTTGCCATAAGTGGAGCTGAAGCAGATTAGCCAGAAGTTGTTCATCTCTTGAATCATCTGAAGTACAATGAGGGTAAACAACCCCTGTTGTATGTGAAAAAAAAAGGCTTTTGGTATTATTTTGTCTCTGTTAATGAACACGTAATTGTGTTTTACCCTTCTGAGAGTCTGAGCAACAGCCAACCTCAATAGTAGCATCTTTGCTACCTAAAGGATCGGTGGCACTATTTTGTGCTGCTACTAGCCTATCAAATGTGCTGCAGCTTAGGATGCAGACACTGGTAGGAACATGCAGAAAATGAAATTCTAGATGTTTTTAAGCTTTCCAATACTATGACTGGAGAGCTAATTTATGTGGAGAGCTAATTTATGTGGAGAGGTAGCTGATCTAAGGAAGTTTCATCAGTTTACAAAGCAGCTAATGAAGCCTGGTTTCTGCTTCACTATGGGTTTCTAAGGATTTTTATCTCTATGTTCATTGTGAGATGTGACTGATATTTACCTCCTGGGGCACCTACAAAGTCGCTCTCCTCTGTGGATTCTTTGTTGTCTAACAATTTCTTTGCTGATACAACAGCCATACTTTTCATCTAGTCCTTTGCAAAAACTGCTTTTCTCAAAATCTGTTGAGATTTAGCTGTCTTTGAGTTTTTCATTTTTGCAGTTAAATTTGGCTGAAGTCAAAAAATAACTTCCAGACACAAATAGATAAAAGGTGTGATCAAATCTGCCTTGTTTCCTATGAAAAAAAGATAAACTATTCCTAGCCAGTAGTGGCATTTTGCTGCACACTATATTTACACTGAAATCTAAAATCTTCCTTGCTGCATTCATTTTTTGTTTGCTCTGTTTGCATGGGCTCTTTCTGGCCCTTCTAGTGATGGGTGAACTACTTCTTAATAAGGAAGTTTAAAGATTCTATGTAAGTCAGTAGGGCTGCAGATTTTGACTTCACCACTGCAGGGCAGTCTATGGCTAAGAATGTAAAATTACTTCGGACCAAAAAAGCAAGCTGCCTGGAAAGGAAGTTTCTATTTCCTGAAGTAGAGGGTTTTATCTCTGAGAAGAAGGAATGCTCCTGTTTCCCCACAGACACTTGTATGCTCTTAGTAAGCACTGAAAAAAATTATTCTGAAAGGCATTTACATGCATGCACCGGGTGGTGTCACAGTGCTCTGTATTGCAGTTCTTCCAGTTTTGGTGCTGGGTCTGTGCTGCCCATAATCAGGTTTCCAAGCGGATGCTGTCAGAAAAATCTTACAAGTGCTTGGCAGTTCTGGGTCAAACTGTACATGTCAAACCTCCACCCCTTTCTGCACCCTTAGTCACCTTAGAACTGTGTGGTTCAGTTTGTGCCTGCATTTCCAGTGGAACTGGATGACAAAATTGAACAGATGAAACTTTTTCCAGTGGAGGAATCCACAAAGAGTCTTTGGGAGAGAATGGAAGGAAAGAAGCCTTAACTGTGTATTCCTATAAAGAGTGACAGTGAGTAGCACTTTTGCTCCCCTCCATGACCCTCTTGGAAGTAAATGGAGACCTGTACTATTTGATCCCATGAAGCATTTTGTTTCTTAAACAAGAGCTGTTTGGTCTGCAGGTCACAAACACAGATTCTTCTGAAAAACCCAGGGGACAAACTGAAGAAATCTCTCTCATTGCCCTCTGCCCCTTTAGGGACTCAGAGGAGATCATGGGACCTTCTGATCTCATTGTCTTCCAGGCAAGGGACCCTGGCAGCATCATAAAAAGCATTAGTGCTGGAAGGGAATGGGCTCAACTCTCTCTGTCCTCAAAAAATGACTCCATTCTCCAAGAATTTCCTTCTCTTCTGGAGTATAGCTAAAAGGAAGAAGTAGCAAGAGCTCCATGTCATGTCTCTGTGCCCGAGTCCTGTGTTTGTATCCTCTTAGACTTTCTGTCTAGCCTCCCACTTTCATTGCTGGCAAAGGGTTTCTTTTTCGTTTGTTTCTTTTTTTTCATCTCCTGCTACTTAGCAGTTTTAGTTTTGCCTTGAAAAATGAAGAAGACTTCTTGGGATGCAAGCAAGACTTCCACCCACATAGCCTTTAAAGGCACAAAAAACAAGGTCCCAGCTGTTACTCTCCAAAAGCTGCTTGGTTTGGCCTCACTTTGTCTTGTTGTCCCTAAGCACGAGATAAGCAGAGTTCCTCTAAATATGAGGTTTGAACATGTCTTCGAGGCCCTCAAAGAAGTACTTGAAATTGCTTTGACATTCTGGAAAACAAAACAAGACTAATCATGGCCTTATTGTTGCTTTCCTGAGGGGAAGGAAGGGCAGATATGGGCGAGCTGAAATTCCCCATTACAGGCTGGAGTTGGAATTTACATGTAACATGCTTATGGCCATGGTTGTCCTGGTTGTGACTTTGAGTTCTTGCCTCAGTGGCAGGCTTCACCAAGGCAGCTGGAAGCTCAAGATCTTTTCCAGGCAGCTGCAGTCTTACAGGGAGCTCCCCACAGCACAGGGTTAGTTGTGGGAGACGACCACCAAATGCTGGAGCAAACCCGAGTGGGTTGGCTGCAGCTCAGGGAGGGTGCTGTTGCCACATGAGTAAAGAGCACTGCAGCTGAGGGCCTCCAGTGCAGCTCACAACACACTTGCCCACTCTGACAAAAGAGATCCTTGTCCTATTGCATTGTGGGCCACCAGGAGGTGGGGGTGGGAAATACACACAAGTATTCCCTTAGACACACCCTGAGCCTCACAGTAGGTTGCATGCTTCCCTGGAAGCAAGGCAATTGTGGAATGCACCTTATCTGTGAAACACATGGGTTTTAGTCTTCTTCTGCAGGATAGTTTGAATCTCAGACAATTTCTTTGTAGTCACCTGGAGATACACCAGAAACTAGATGTTTTTCACATGAATCTACAGCGATACAGTGAGAATTTTCATCTGGAGTTAAAAAGGAGTTCTCAGAAGATTTCCTGATAAAGTGAGCATGGTTGTTTTATGAACCATTACTGGACAAGTGTTTTGAGAACACCAGGGACAGAAAGGAAAGTTCTTGTTAGCAATATGGAAAATCACTGCTGTTATCTGAGGTAAGGCAGATGGAATTCAGAAGCAGGGGAAAAAGCCACATGCAAACTGAAAAGAACTCTCCCCAAAATAATACAAGGTAGAGGTTTCTGATCTAAGAACTACATTGCTTACTGATATAACTATATAATATAATCTTATTATTTTGTGCTGCAGGAGAGGAAAGGTAAGATAAAATTTTCAGTATGTTTGCTGTTTGACTGTACTTTGCTAAACCACACTTCACTGAACTAAGCACATACAACTCCACACATAAGCCCCAATGAAAGGACTTCAGCAAAGGCAAAGCCCTAAGTAAATAATCATGCAGTTACTGTTCTTGTTGTACAATGTTTGCATTTGTCTAGAAAAGCAAACTCAGATACTGGGAAAAAAGACAGAAATAGACTTACAAACTATGAGATCATAGGAAAGAAAATTCTTATGAGTTTTAGGTCTAACAAAAAGAGAAATACATTTAAATAACTGTAACACTGGTACACAATTTCTGAAATTTCATCTCCCAGCATAAGCTTTGAGGAATAGGGGATATTTTAAGGCAGAACAAGTTCTTCAAGTAAAGCAACCCTCTTCCAGGGCCAAATTTCCTAAATTAATTCAATCTTTTCAGGATACCACAAACTGTGTTCTTAACTGGCAACCTCCTAGTCCAATCAGGTCCAACCAGGCTACATAAGCCATATTCCCATCACTAATCCTGTAAATTCTTTTTCAGCATCACCCATTTAAAATCTGTTATGTTCAAAATGAATTTCCTTAAGTGTTCCAGTTTTTCAGAATTCATATGTGAAATACTTGAATTACTTTCACAAACTTGTCTCTAGAATAGTGAAAAACACCTCTGTAATGTTATTATCCCAAGATTTTGAGAAAACTACCAAAGAGTAGAACTCAGAACTCATAATATATTTTTGATATTCAGTGCAGCAGCTTCCATATCAGAATATCTTTCTGCTGCAGAGTGGTTTAAAGACATGTTGCCTTTTGCTACTCTTTTGGCTAGCCTCCTCTCCACATTTGACAGAGAACTGGTTTCTTCTAATGCTGCTGACCTTCCCCAGTTCCAGGAAATCATGGATCTTCCAATGATACACAAGTACTTTTACAAAGAGTAGCTTGAAAAGATCATTCTGGAAGTTTGTTCCTGGTCACATTATATGAAATATTTAAACGGTGAAACCCTTGTCATTTGCCTTGAAGGTTAAACAGAAAAACTAGTCATGAGAGCCTAATTCAGCTGGTCACACAAATGCTAATCTCCACACCCAGAAGCAGCTTCTTCCTGACTGTACCAAGGCATAAGTCTAGCATAATGATAACAGAAGCATAACAGGTTTTCAA